AGGAAGCATGCACGTCAGAAGGACTGGCTTCCCTCCTAAGAAGCCCGGTTGAATGTACAAAAACACAGAGATACACCTCAACAATGCCTCACTTGGTTAAATATCTTTCTTACGACTTTCAAATTCAGGTACTGAAGATACAAACTAATCCTGGATTAACATTTAATCTCTTCCAAATTTATCAGAATTTCAAGAGCAATGTTCTACTTGAAATGAGATGACTGGCGAGGATGTGGCGCAGAACCCCGCCTTTGCCGCCTTTATGAGTCTGGAGGTACACGAGAAGCGCAAGAGCCTAAGAGCAGCTGGAGTTATTAGAAGAGAATGCACTTATTTCTCTAGCTAATTACCTTTAAAACATTAATTCTACAGAAACCAGTGGCTCACGCCTGTATTCCTACGTACTCAGAAGGCTGAGACCTGAAGGATTATGTGGAGTTCAAGCCAGTGTTGGGAAGTAAGTCCACAAGACTCCATCTCCAATTTACCAGCAAAAGGCTGGCTCAAGTAGTAAAGCACCAACCATGAGAGCACAAGCCCTTAATTTAAACCCTGTAACAGACACAGACACAGGCACAGAGACAGAAAGACAGACAGAAAGACACACACACAGAGTCAGCAGAGACTTTAGGATGAAATGATTGTGCCAGGCTCATTTGAGATATCAACAGTAAGGTCCAGCCCCGCCAAGTTAGCATAAATCAGTTGTTCATGAAGGTCCTCAAATCCCCTGGAGTTCACCTTGAGGTCCAAGGTTAGACCCTCTCTCTCCTTAGTGGATAAACAACTATGCTCACCTGCCACACTTCAGCTTCTTTGTCTCTGTGAAGTAAAAGAGTAGATGTCTCCGTGCTCTGCTAGGGAACACGAAGCAATACAATACATAGGGCTCCCTTAAAGAGAGAAGGTGAAGGAGCTTGAAAAGGTCGCAGGCAACACTCTCTCCCTCTCATCATCAGCCTTGCCTGCCCGATCCAATCACTTCTGGAAATCTGATAAAACACCAATGTCTGCTCACCAGAGAGACCCAGCTGCCAACCCAGCACAGCGCAGAGCCTGGAGGGTGCTTAGCATCTGCATGTTTTGAAAGTTCTTCAGATTATTCAAAGGCACAGCAGAGAAACACACCATGCATGCTTAAAAGACCATAGTTAGCAAATGCCAGCATTGCTTTTCTTGCTGCTTTAATGTCTTTGCTCAACCATTAGAGAAGGACAGAGCAGGTTTTAGAGCAGTGGTGAATGAAGGCAGAATGAGAGGTGACCGAGCGTCTTTGAACCAAGTCTGTTCTCCAGTGTGATCAAAAAAGAGGAAAAACAGCACAATAAAAAAAAAATAGGATTCAATAAGATACAAAAAGAAAGGACATTCAAAAGAGCTAAGAAGCCAAGTCAGCACGTGTATTTACACATATTGCTAGATACATTATGGTTTTCTCATTAGTTCCCCTCCTAAAAATAGAGCCAATTTTCAAACAAATAACTATACATAGGCATGTGCGTCCCCAATGTTAGGAACAAAATGCTAAGGAAATACTTTCCAACATCTGAGAGCAATTTTGAACTATACATCATCACTTCTATGCATCCACCTTAAAGGAGAAAGATCAGAGTCAAATGAGCAAGCATCCAACCGTATTATAGTTTTCCTCTCTTGTTACACAGGATCTGAAGCCCACTAATTTTTTCCAGAGGGAACCTCACTCATAGAACTCTTCCTGAGCACAGCTTGCTTCTTAGACAACTAGGAAATTCACGTACTAGCAACAGCATTGGGGCAAGGACGCCTGAGCGAGCTTTCATTGAGTAATGAATTTCAAGCACCAGGAACAATGAAGTATTAAATTGGGATTTCACATTCCAATCTGGCTGAGCCCCATCAACATCCCCCAAAGAGCACAAATAAAAATTCTTAACATTCTAGCATCTCAAAACCCAGGCATGCACAATCTTCACACACGTGTGAAAGCAAATCACACATGAGGTTTGTGAAAAACACAACCAGTTATATAATCCTGTCAAAATCAGCGCATCAGGGATTTTACTCAACTCAACCAATGGGACCTGAGTCAAAGGCACCTACAGTTTTATATGCATTCCATTGGCAGTTCTTTGTTTAGTAAAACCTCAAACGACAAACTACTGTGTGTGTGTGTGTGTGTGTGTGTGTGTGTGTGTGTGTCAGTGTGTGTCTGTGTCTGTGTGTCTGTCTCTTTCCTGAAAGGGAAAAACATTAATGATCAAGTGAGTTTAACTTTTTAAGTTCGTGCAAAGGCTTTCAACACATTGTACCATGAAAAAAATGCAAGTGAAATGCTATTGAAAATGGTTGCACAGTAAATATATTTTGTGATCCAGGGCCTTACCAAGACAGGTTCTTAAATTCAACAGTGGTTTATTCAGCAAAAAAAATAACTTGTATTAGCAGTCTAACTCCTTATTTCTACAGGAAAATATCCCCCACAATCCAAATCCTACAAAATGTGAGCTGGGGAGGAAATCCTGGAACTGCCCAAGGTCCTGGACTAAGTACCTAAACACCTGCCTTCCGAAGGTGGGGATCAGTATTTGAATGGAACACATACCTAGAGATGAACAGGCAACAGCACAGAAGCGCAGGTGCTTCTGGGTACACCAACTTCTCAGGGACTCTACACACACGCACCAAAGCTCTTGAAGCTTATAAACCAAGTATCATTATTCTCCTTTTACACATTTCATTCATTATATCACAAACATGTATTTTTTAAACTAATATTTTCTTTTTTCTTCCTCTTTGCTTTTTTCTTTTCTTTTTTGCTGGCCCTAAGGCCTGGATACTGTCCCTGAGTTCCTTTGTGCTCAAAGCTAGTGCTCTACCACTTGAGACACAGTGCCACTTCTAGCTTTTTCTGGGTGGTTACTGGAGATAGGAGTTTCACAGACTTTTCTGTCCAGGCTGGCTTCAAACCATGATCCTCAGATCTCAGCCTCCTGAGTAGGTAGGATTACAGGCATGAGCCACCAGTGCATGGCTCAGATTTCTATATCCTAAATAATCCCATCTTTTACTAGAGGCTAAAGTTAAAAGCCAAAACTAAATCAGCAAGTGGGAAAAATAACCCAAGCTGACACAAAAAGATGTGGCTAGTTTTATAATATATATCAGCCACTATCTTATCCCACATTTACATTAAGTAAAATCTTGACAAGCAGTAAACTGACAGATGCTAGTTTGTCCCCATGAGTAAATGTTCTGAGTAGAAAAAAAAAATGACTATCAAGTTTATGAAAGTTAGACTCTATTCTTTCCAAGTCTTTTTTGCTGTTCAGGAAAAAAAAAAAGATGTGTACCTGAAAGAAATGTGACTTACTAAATAAAGGTTTGTTTCTTTTCACAAGGAGGTACAAGAGAGTATACCATAGCCAGTATTTTCGGTCACTTTCACTTGTATAATTCTTTCTCTTCCTTAGAGGCTCTCTCTGCAAAATGTTTTGTCAGTTTGTGAAAACCTATCACACAAGCATACACTATAATGTAATAAGCTGCGTTCCAAGACGTCCCTAAGAATCTCTGTCTTCCTTCAACCAGTTGGGACTATTTATTGTTCAGCAACTGCGCCTACCCCAGATTTTCCCCTATCCCACCCCTCACACTCTTTTGTATATAGTTTGCCTCCTCCCCTCCTTCTTCCTCCTCCTCCTCCTCCTCCTCCCTCTTCTTCCTCTTCTCCTTCCTCCTCTTCCTCCTCCTCCTCCTCCCTCTTCTTCTTCCTCTTCTCCTTCCTCCTCTTCCTCCTCTTCCTCCTCCTTCTTCCTTCCTCCCTTTTGGCCCTCCATTCATTTTTCTTGATTTAGAGGAACCTAATTAATAGTTGAGGCTCCGCTCTTCCTTGTGTGTAATATGGGTGTGCGCGTGTGCACGTACCTGCCCGCACGGCCCTTCTAGTACTGGAGGCTTGAATTCAGGGCCTCAAATTCTTGGTTGGCTTTTTCTGCTCAAGCCACACCTCCTCTTCTGTCTTTTTGGTGGTTAATTGGAAATAAGAGTCTCAGGGACTTTTCTGCCTAGGCTGGCTCTGAATCATGATCCTCAGATCTCAGCCTCCTGAGCAGCTTGAATTACAGGCTGGAGGCACCCAGTACCAGCTCTCTTCTTTATCTTTGACCAATGGAGTTCAAAGGCAGAGAAGAAAGTTTCCTCTTTGTACCTCAGGAAGGCGGAAGGCAGAACACACCTCTCCCTGAAACTCCTTTGTCCTACTCATCTGTGCAGAACAGAGCAAGTCTAGATTCTTGGCCCTTAGTTCTCAGTATTTGTTAGCCTGTTAATGAGAGGCCATCTGAAACATGGTATCTGGTGACCACGTGCAGCGAGATATGGCTGACCCTGATTTGAAGCCACTATCGGCCTGGCACATGCTCCCATTCATACTTCCGATAGCAATGATACACGGATCCATTTCCCTTACACCTTGTTTCCGTGTGACTCACAGATGGCACTTGCCAAATGGCTGACTGAGTTAAGGCGCAGAAAAGGTTCTGTCTCTGGCAATAGAAGAGATGACTGGCTCCACTAGAGTTCAAGCCCTGGGCCCTGGCTTCAACAGCCAGCCACTCATGACAAGGGTCCTTCCTATGTGCAAGAATGCTTGCGGGGTTCGGAGGCTTAACCATACACCTCTGCAATCTCAATCAACCACGCTAAGACAGAGCGGCTGGCACACACACCAAGAGACCCCAGTTCTCACAATTCACCCCGGCAGTGCAGAACGCGCCTCCTGCCCCTGGGTTTCTCAGAATCCTTCCAGAAGCACTTCCTTTGGATTCCAGCTCGTGAAGGTCAAAGCAGCCACACACCAAGAGCAGCGTGGCGCTTACCTCAACCAGAACCCAGCGAGCCCAAACCACCATTTTCCTGTCCTCTCCGAATATAGCAGCTGAGCACTTCCCCCTCCCAGAGGGACGGCGAGGAGGGAGAGGAGGGCGCAGGGAGATAAAAACAAAATCGGCCGTATTTACCTTCTTCGGTCTCGTGCCACACAATCCCCTCCAAGTTCACGCTGGTCCCAGGTTCACAGGGCCCAAGGCACTCCGGCTCCGTCACTACTCCCACTTCGCACGTATTGACACCCACGGACCGAGTCCGGACCAACAGCTGCTCCACCGGTGCTGCGATACTGGATGAGGATGGGGGAAAGTAGGAGGGCAGAAGCTGAGGCGTGAGACTGCTGGCGATCGGCGGCGGTGGTGCTGGCACTGTAAACAGGGAGTCAACCTGAAAGACAGACAGGCTTATTGCAGTGGGGCTGCAGGTGGCCGGGGCTCCGCTATGCAATCTCTTTACATCCTCTAGAACAGAGCATCATTCCAAACTCCATTTACAATTACCATAGGCACCGATGGCTCTGGCAGTGCCAAAAATACAAAGTGGAACAGAAATAGGCAATTTTCATTTTTCACGTCAAACAAGGTAAGCCTAAGAGTGCAAGCTTCCTGAATAGGTGGATGAAAATTACTGAGCAAAATTAAGACTATCTTCCACTCATACTGAAATCTTATTTTCAAATTATAACATTTTCCAAAGAAGAAACCCCAATAAATAAACAATAACGTCTGCATTATTGGGCATTTAAAGCAAAGGAAATGGATTAAATTTGTTTTCCAAGTACTTTATAAACCATAATGAATTAAATCACTATGAAAATATATTAACTCACTCTACAGAATATACAACATATATAAACTTGATTGCGTATACTGAAACACAAAGTGGATATTATTAGCATATACTCAGCAGCAACTCTTAATTAAGTGTTCTATTGCAAAGTTTAGCAGAAGTCATACAGAGGAAAAAAGAAATGTGCATGCCAACATCAACAGACCAGGAGTTTTCACCAGTGCACACGTCTGATGATTAAACATTTCAGGGTCATGGGTCGGTTTGACCAAGGCCTGGGAGCCTTCTCAGAATGCAGGAAGTTGAAATGATAGGCAAGTGTAAGACAAATTGGGTGTACAGATACCTCCCTTGGACCTTGATCACCAGGAGGGAAGCAAAGGAGTTCCTCACAAATTTAAACGTCTAGCCATAACGCAACCAAAATCTACACACTTAGACAACAGGTGGGTCACCAGATAACCTCAGTCCATTTGGCCACCAAGCACCTGGTAGAACTACTACAGAACAGCTTTATAGTTGTTTTTTTGTGTATGTGGAAAAGCCTCACAAAGCCTCTCGGTCCATTTCCTGCATGCTCTCGTCACACATGGCCAGGGTCTGGGACTAATGGATGATGATACTTGCATGTTTTATCAGCTGGGCTAACAAACTGTGAATGTTGAAAATAACGGAGCAGAGGTCATTCTGGGAAAACGCTATCTCATCTGATGTTCATATTTCATGAGATACCCTTTGTAGGCATTTGGATTCAGTTGTAATATTATATTATTTTGGTTACTTTAAAAGAGTAGTAAAGCCGGTGGTAGTGACTTACACCTATAATCCCAGCTAGTCATGAGACTCGCAAGGCAGACAAGCGAATCCCATCTCTAATTAATCCTCCTCCCCTCCCCCCAAAAAACCCAAAAAGCAGTAGTGGAGCTCTGAATCAAATGGTAGAGTACCAACTTTGAGCAAAAAAGCTAAAGTACAGTGTCTAGGCCTTACGTTTAACTCCCCAGTACCAATACACAAAAAAAGTTAAAAATTAAAAATTAAACTAACCGATAGACAAAGAGTGTATTTCCAGAGTGTCAGCTGAGAATATAAGCTCCTAATTTAAGTGTTGAAGCAGTTGCCTGGGTGGCTCCTTGTTCAGGTGACCATAAGGACTCTGTCTACTACACTTCGCATTCCACTAAAATGATAAACTGTCGTTCATTTGCCTGAGTGATCCAAGATGCACAGCAGCCCTTTACCCAGATGCATGCTACAGAAAGCAAATTTCCGGCTCTCAAAGCTGCTATAAAACTTCTTCTGCTCCATGCTTTTTATTGTTTGGCATTCTTCATCACAGAATCCAAGAAAAGAAAAGCATTAAGCAGTCCCAACCTATAGGTCATAATGATTTATGCTGTTGTGTACATGCAGCTTAAGATGGATCAACGTTCCCATTGATAGTTCCTATTTTAAAATTGGGCTGACAAATGAGGAGAGAGGTTCTGAGGAAGGAAACTTAAACCGAAAAACTATCCAAGACGACCCTGTATTCCTCATCACAGCTGAAAAGCTGAAAAGATTAAAACCTTTTTCTAAAATTTAAAAAGAAGAAAACTAGAAATCAGTTACCGTCATTTTTTTTGCAGGTTTTCTAACGTCTTCTTGATTTGTAGAGCTAGCTATATACTGGCTATAAACCGATGCTATACATATCAACCAAAGGAACTGAATCAAACAATATTCTGAAAATATTCTTTACATGGCCGGATTAATGGCCTAAGTTAATACTAAAAGAAGAAATACAACTTCCGTTGGGTGATCTAGATAGTGGGTTAAATGAGGCTTCTTCCACCAACACAAGGGAAAGGTAAGGATGAAAGTCTGAACAGAAGCCAGGCTCTGGCGCCTCATGCCTGTCATTCTGCTGAGGAAGCTGAGGCCTCAGTACTGAGATTCAAAGCCAGGCCGAGAAGGAAAGTCCATCAGACTCCATCTCCAATTAACCCCCAGACTATGGGAAATGAGAGTTGTGGCTTGAGTGGTAACCAGCCTTGAAAGAAAAAGTTGAGGGGCAGCACCCAGGCCCTGAGCTCAGCCCCCAGTACCAGCTAACGAAAATGTCACAGTTGCTGATATTCCAGAATGAGAAAGCTATAGCTCAGCTTGACTATAAATAGGAAGGTAATCATAGATAGCACTCCAGTGTGATGGTACTCTAACCCTTCAAATCTGGTAGGCAATAGACTTATACATTTGACTCTGATTAAACCCAAGTTTAGGTTCTTAGTTTTCCTGTTGTGCCACTTTCCTGATATTGGCTCAAAATGTGTCTATAGTACCAGATCCGTACTCCCCGTGGAGAGAGGGGAGAGGCGAGCACAAGACCACCCCTAGGGTCTCTGGCAGGCCTCTCTTCCCTAGAGGCCACTAAATGAAAAGTGGGGTTGGGGTGCGGAATTACTGCCCCTCCCAGAAGCGTTTTACTCAACTACCTTTAAAAACATTCCAAGGGCTGGGAAGGTGGCTCAGTGGTAGAGCGCTTGCCTTGCATGCTCAAGGCCCTGGGTTCGATTCCTCAGCACCACATAAGCAAAAAGAAAAAAGCCAGAAGTGGCACTGTGGCTCAAGTGGCAGAGCGCTAGCCTTGAGCTGAAGAGCTGAGGGACAGCGCCCGGGCCCAGAGTTCAGGCCCCACGACCGGACCCAAAAAAATAAAATAAATAAATAAATAAAAACATTCCAATTATTTGTCAATGCTTGGGAGATCCCAGGCTGCGTTTCCATCCACTCTGAAGATACAGATCAGACAGCGCTGTGGGCAGAGCTCGGCACATCCCACACAGAGTCCCCCTCAGAGCGGATGGTGACTTCAGCCTTCCAGCTACCCTGCCCAGCCACGTGAGTGTGTGCTTTAGTCTTTTCCTGAGAATGTTCCACAGGGCAGACTCCCTGCCCAGCTCTCTCATTCTACAGAAAATACTGGCAACGGTATCCGTCCAATGGTAATAAATAAACTGTGGCTCGCAGCAGCTCAGGTCAGAAGAGCAGCTGACTGGACACAGGAAGGGAGGGAATACACAAGAACTGAACCTGTACCCACCAAAAGGAGGCAGGAAGGAAATAATCCAAACAACGTGGTCGCTTCTTCCCGCCTGGGAGGTTATCCCTCCAGAAGTTTCCATTCTCTTGGGTATCTCAAGGTATCCTGCACAAAGCCACGTGGCTCATACGTAAAACGGGATTTTAAAGAACACTAACTCATTTGTTAAATTTATTTTGAGACCATGTAGCCTCAGACTCTTGACCAACCTGCTTCAGCCTCCCAAGGGTTGGGATTACAGGTGTGTATCACTGAGCCTGGCCTCAGTAGTTATTTTTGTCTTGTAGAAAAGATCAAGTCTATGGCCTCCTGATTTCTCACGTCACTGACCTACATACTGAGCCATCAGTTTTTGGGTCAACAAGACTGTGGGTATCTGGGCACTTTTGGCTTATGCCTCTAATCCTGGCCATTCAGAAGTTTGAGATCTGAGGATCCATCACAGTAGCCCAGACAGAAAAGCCCAGGAGATTCTTATCTCCAATTAAGTACCCCCCCAAAAAAAAAATCTGAAGAGGAGACATACCTCAATTGGTACAGTGCTAGCTTTGAGCCAAAAAGCTAAGTAAGGGACAGCACCCAGGCCCTGAGTTCAAGCCCTTGTTCTGGCACTAAAATGTGCACGCATGCACACGCGTGTGCACAACACACATATGTGCACACACAGAAGATAATTGGTGGCATCAGTTTTGTAGCCCTTCCTCTTGTTTCCTTTTTTCTGGGGGGGGGGGGGGGGGGGTCCTGGTCGTGGGGCCTGAACTCTGGGCCTGGGCGCTGTCCCTCAGCTCTTCAGCTCAAGGCTAGCGCTCTACCACTTGAGCCACAGCGCCACTTCCGGCTTTTTTCTTTTTGCTTATGTGGTGCTAAGGAACCGAACCCAGGGACTCATGCATGCAAGGCAAGCGCTCTACCACTGAGCCACCTTCCCAGCTCCTAGCCCTTCCTCTTGTGAGGGAGCAGCATACCAACTAGTAAACTTAGGGATCAGGTCCTGGCCCTGTCAGCCCTTGCTGTGTGGGACCCCAAGCAAGGCTCTGGGCTAGTCTAAGGCTCCGTGTTTGGAACTGAGGAAAGAATTACCCCAACAGGCTGCCGGAGACTCAGCATGTGCTCAGCTCACCCGATGGGAGTGCTCAGCGTGTGCACAGCTCAGTGAACCCCGGAGAGAGAGAAAAAAACAGAGAGAGAGAGAGAGAGAGAGAGAATGAGAGAGGCAGAGAGAGAAACAAAAGAAGGGAGAAAGGAAAGAAGAGAAAGAAGAGAAAAGGAAAGAAAAGAGAAGAAAAGAAAAGAGGAAAGAGAAGAGAAGAAGAAAAAGAGAGCCAGGCAGCCCCTGGTCTGCTACACTTGATATTGCAGTTAGTTCTCTCACCCCGCCCAGCCCCACAAAGCTCCTTTTTATATCCTACTATATTTAACATAAATCTATAATCCCCCCAAAATGCATGGCTAAGTGTGGTTAAAGTGTGTTAAAAGTGGAAAGAGAAAGGGGCTTACCCGAGCAGCTCAGCCTTTC